CGACTTATGACGGGGCGTGCATGGCAATGGGCCAGTCCAGATGTCGACCTCACGTTGCCAAAGTTTAGTGGGCTCAGGGCAACCACTCAGCGGCCACCTGAGCCAAGGCGCCTCATCAGGGCACCAGACAGCATTGTTGAACGAGGGAGCGTAATTGTGTGTGTGGGCATTGTTCGACGAGGCTCCGTACGGAGTACCTCGACCGTAGTGTGTTTTGCCAGTGACGCCGAGTACCGACGGCATCCCCTTCGATGCTGCATGCCTGCCCGGGTGCCTGAGCTGGTACGCAGCACATGTATGCACCTGCCTTGCGACATGGGCACGTCTGTGCCGTCAAGGCTCAACAGACGCCACGCAGATCTGCTATTATCCTATTCAAGCATTGAGGTATTCGGTGGGCAGAAAAGTGTACAATCTGCTGCCATCCTGGACAGACCAGATTGGTTTCAGCTCCGGCTCTGGGTCTACTACGGAGTACGAGTACTAGTAGTACTACTAGTAGTCCCTGAGGAAAACGCGCGCCCTAGTGCGCCATTGAATCTGATCCGCTCTGTCGCGTCACACCACAGAGCCACCGGAGGAGAATGTGCAACGCAATGACGATGCAGTTGTTGGCGCCTTGGGGCATCCAACTTCCGAGTTATCTATAGGCCTTGGACTCCATCGATTGATGCTACCCAAGAACCCCATCGACAGCCCAGTTGCCAGTGCAATACTCGCATTGAGCTTCCATCATCTATCACTCATCCATCACTCATCCTCCGTCCTCCATCTCTCCATGCCGCTTGGGTCCCCGGTTTGTGGGGTCGGAACAGCTGAGGCGTCCAACCAGCAGCAACTTGCCACGGCAGGCCAGATTTGTTCATGCTCATGTAGGGACGGAGCAGGTACTCTGCACCATCGCGTCGACTCGCAGTGGCATGAACGCTACGCATCATGTCTGCATGTGCCGTGAATCTTGGATTGTGGGTTTGCGCCATTTCAAACTTGGGCGCGCCCCGCCATTTTGATGACTGCGATAAACCGGGCCTTGGCCATCAAGTTCAGATGTCAGCACGGATACTATCTCGATCCGCCATTGCCATTTTCAGGTGACGCGACTTGGTAACCCACGGACATGTCAGGAGTAGTTGATATTATGTACATTTGCGCTCGAGGTGACGCAGTACGGAGTAGATAGAGTACAGATAACTGTGTGTGCTCAAGCACTTGACAAGGTTCATAGTGGAGATGGAACCTTGGGGGCGACAAAATAGACTTCTACTGCACTTACTTACATAAGTAAGGTAACATTGAAAGTATACAAGCACGCACATACAACAATAGCAGCAGCTTGGCTTTAGAGCGAGAACCCGTTTGTCCCTGGCCAGTATTGCCGCCGCCAAAACTCTAATCCAACGCGACTGGAAGGGCATGAACTGAGCTGCGCGGGGATAGAAATAGTCCGGAGTATCTCCACGTCGGTTAGCAATGAAACCTGAGCGCCTTACGACCCGGTTGATGGGCCATGCACATGTGCACATGTGGCCAAAAAAAACGCCTGCCTACTTCAGGTCGTAGGCCCGATCTATGATTGTAGGTCCACGTCCCTAGTCAGGCAGTTGATAACCAGCATCATTAAAGCACCAGCACGCCGTCCCTTTGGACCAATTTAAATCGTACGAGAAACATCAAGGTCGACAGCCGGAGCCAAAGCTGCCGACAAAGACCAGGCTGGCGTCTTCCAAAGTTGGCTGTGTCCACAGCCATTCATGCAAGCGCCCTGAATAGCGGCCGAGTGGGGCAAACAGACATGGGCATACAATTACATCTGGAGCCTCCGAGTAATGCGCCAACTCCACAGCTCCTCCATGTCTGCATTTTCGCTGCGGAAATAACACTGTCATCTAGTCTGATACCGACATCTTGTCATTCCCTCATCCTACTCCCCAATAAAAGGCTCCTGTCTCCGCAATGGCCTGGCGCGTGGCAGTGTTGCCCGTTGTTCTATCCGCCGATAGCGATACCAAGCATCGATTACCGACTCCCGAGTCCTGAGAGCATGCTTCCTTCACGTCCATCCATATCGTCAGCAACACGATCTTTCTCGGCTCCTGCCCTTAACGACTAGGCTCTTCCATACCAAATACGAGTATCTCATTCGGACATTCCGAAGCGCACAAGTCCAACACTCCTCTCCTCTGGGTTCTTTGAGGCAGCACGTCTGCACTCGCCTTCTCCTCAAGAACAGGGCAAGCTCGTGCGTCCAACACCCCTATGCTACACATGACTAGGGATGGCCAGACAGCCCGGCATGTTGGAGCCCTCGACTGTCGTGTTAATGCGTATCAAATTCAGAGCAATATTGCACCAGTATCCCATTACGCGAGCCCGGGCCTACTGTCACCTGTTTCACTCTTCTTTCAAACCAAACTGGTCAGGATCCCAATCCGAGTATCAATTCCAATCAACTTGAGCTGATTGTCCTTGGACGTACATACGCAATTTGGCCGGACCAGGATGAGGACCAGGACCAGCGCAGTGTATAATATGCCCCAATTTGAACCGGCCGGTCTAAGCCGTCCATCCAGGACTTGATCACCCTGAGGACACCTGCTTCATTTTGGTATGAATGCCGAGCATCACCTCCAGATGTCAGCAATTCGACTTCGTCCAAGCGGGGAGCCAAGCTTGGTCTATTGTTCCCAAGTTTTGAGGATAAAGGTAGAACTGCAACCTCCAAGACCGTGACGGCATGGCCACACCAACCCCGCCATGTTCCATTCTTCAACTCCCCTGATCCTGTCATGCAGCCGCTTCCGCTCTTTTGCCTCGTCGAACCCGACCATCCATCACGTATGACCGGCCGAAGCATGCCGCCTGGCCTCTTCACACTGGCAGCCATCTTGAAGTATCACCAACCATATTTCCCCGTGGCTGTCTCGCCTTGTGCTTTGGTTTTACCAAACTATTCCACATGTCTCGCTGCCGCCGCGGTGCCCCGTCTTGTCTCGCGTAGGTCCGGATGGTCGGCGGTATGAGATGACGGGCTTGCTTACTCCGCGTGTACGAGGCGTGTCGCCAGCATGTCCCGTGAGAAGCGTGCAGCACAAGGCATCTTGTGCCTGTTGATGGGGCTGCTTTGCACAGTGGAATGACGGACAAAGGTAAGCGCGCCGGTGAAGTTGCACCGCGTTTACTCAGCTCGGCTTCATGGCGGCTCAATTATTAGTTGTACTCGTATGTTTCGTTGCCCGAGGATCCGAGTTGGTGCCGCATTCAAAGTTCTTCCGGCGTCAGTGATAGACTTCCATAACCGACCTCCCCAACACGCCCAACGCCCAGAAGGCCATCAATGACTTTGATAGCCGCGCATATACCGCGCGTGTGAACAGGCACAAACGACATGAAACGAAATACTCCTACAGCTTCACAACCTCACAAGCCTATTTCCCCTTCCCATGCCATTAGTGCTCTCCCACCCTGCTCCAACTTCACCACAGGGCACGCCTGGCACTGCGAAAGAAAACCCAACGGGATGCATGGCCCAGAAATAACTCGCATTACTGTAAGCATACTCAAAATCCATGATTTTCCATTATTCGACAATTGTTACCCGCCCAACGACGAGAAGTCATTGAAACAGCACCTGCTGTCGTATAAAGTCTGAACAACACTGGTAGTCAAGTCCCTCCCCTCGGCCAGCATGCATGGATCGACGTCTCGTCGAATTAAATCTCTTGCGTGGTTACTAGCAGCAGCAAGGATAAAAATAGCCCCCAGAGATGTCCAGCTCCCGCTCCAGAAAATACAATTTCCAATCTTTAGAGCGTTGATACACTGCAGTGGATGGTGCGATGGCCGGTCTGGTCGCGTTCCAGTACCTTGTCGCTTAGGAGAAGATGCACTCGGCTGCACTGATGGGATATGGCGGCCGAATAAACCATGCCGTGTCCCCGCGGATAATGGACTAGACTTGGTCGAAATGGTCAAATGCGATTCTTATGGGACATTGTCGTAGATTTGTCTGGCTAAGAGTCCTTTAAATTTGCCGCCGTGCACGTTGCGCAGATGTTTCAATTCAATTCAATATGATGGGGTACCTACCTGTAGGTAGTCGAGAACCAATGTCTATATAAGTAAGCTGGTATATTATACTTGTGTGTCTGAGTATGTGTGTCATACATGCATGTGTCGATCCAAACAACACCCGCAAATAGGCGGAACCATGTGGAATTTACCTGACAATGCCATGATCAAAAGTTGGAACCTAGAGCCAGCAGAGACGGGAAGAGGCAAGCGGCCATGTCATCAAATATTTGTCATTGTCAAGACAGTCCGGCAGCCTAGCTTCCAAGGTCTCGACCGGCAATATTGCATTTCAACATCAACTTCGCGTGCAGAGGCCTTACGCAGCGTGCAACATCAGTCAACTACGGCAAATGGTCAATCAGCCCGGTGCTGATTTCACATGCCCAAAATAGAAAACAATCGGCTGGGCGCTTCTACTTTAAGTCTAGCCACTGTTTCTCCAAGTCTAAAAGCCCGATTGTCTGTCGGCTTTGTGACCGCTCAATTCGCCTCTCCACGGCGATGATCAGAGCACTCATATTTCACCAACTACCCTCTCTCGCTCCGGCAAACCAGACACTTCAATGTTCCTTGCCCATCAGCGACATTGAGTGCTCACCTGCCATCTTGACGTCCAGCTTCCCAGGCTACCCCACCAAAGACGGGCATTCCAGTCGACTACAGGGGCCGGCATGCACCCCATGCGACATACAGGGGGCGGGAAGGATCCTAGCCCAACTTGGGGAACGACAATGAAACCACCGCCCGCCGACATGGAGTAACAGACCACGTATCAGGTCTTAAGAAGCTCACCACTGCTCACAATTTCCTTGTCCTTCTCCTCTCCCTCTTCCCAACTACAAATTCCTCACCAACCTCGCATCGCGCAATCCCCCCCCAACCCCCACCCCACATCAAAAAACCCCCCCCCCCCCCCCCAGCAGGGCGTCATGTTCTCCAGCCTGGCGACCAAAATCGCCCTCAAAAAGGCCGGCATCCCCTCCAACGCACTCGACTTCTCGTCCCCCCGCGAACCCAACAAGCTGCGCAAAGACCAACCCGCCGACGACCAAGACTCCAACAACTGGTCCAGCTGGCTGTCCTACAAGTCCCTCCCCCTCACCGTGCACCCGTGGCTCTCGCCGCCCCCGCCGCCCATCCAAGTCTCCCGCGTCCCGCGCATAGGAGAGCCCGCGCCGCGCGACAG